TCTTCACAGTCTTTCCCTAACTAGGTCAGAAGCTGTTGTATCCATGCCACAGGTGGTTTTTTGAGTGGGGTCCCAATAGTTGCTTTCTAAAAGACATCTGAGACTCATCTCAGATGAGTGCTGTGTTCCTAAGGTTTCCTTGTTAAGACTATCTGTATAGGAGGTGGTTGTGATGGGCTACCAGAGAAATTATCATTACAAAACCTGGATCATTACAAAACCTGGAGTGGTCTGTCAGCTGCATGCTGATACCTCACTCAGCCTTGCAGAAGTACATGGAGCATTTTGTCACAACTAAAATAAAAAGCTTGTCTTGTGTTGCTGGTCTTTTTTTAAGAGTGCAAAAAAGTGACCGTTTTCTTTACTATTCACAGGCACTGAAGTTAACCAGGCAGCCCAAAGCACCCGTGAAGGTATAACAGTGGAGGTGGCCTGTGTCACAGTGAATGTATATATGTACTATACTGTACACACAGACAATTGAGACAACTGGATATCTGTGAATGTTGCTTTAGTGCATATTTTATTTTTATACACACACACACACACACACACACACATATACAAATATATATATATATATATAAAAGATACCTGTTTAAGTGCCTTACAAATACATTTTTGGCAAAAACATTGTTTCCGGAAGCCACTTTGATGGTTACTGCAAGAGGTTGTACAGTATTTTGGAGTCCTTTAGTTTTTATTTTTCTAACAGAGTGGATGGTCATAACTAACAGCTGTGTTTCTTCCATTGCCCCTGCTTTGAAGCCAGGGTGCACCAGCTGTAAGTTTCTGTTTTAAACTAGCCAAAATGACCAGAAGCCTATCCCACTGCTGACTTACCCTGAGAAAGAGCTTTCTGAAGGTTTTTTTCAAGATTGACTTGAATTTGTGTGTGATTCTGTTACACTCCCTAGTCATATGACTGTGACATGCCTTTTTCTTCTGAGTTTGTGTATTCTCAGCATGGGGCCATCCATTGGATAGAAGCTGAGAAGCATGAATTATTTGCATTTGTTGACACAGTTGTCTAGACATTCCTTCAAAGTTAATGGTTTTTCAAGGAAATTCTTTCAATTCCATTGTATGATATTGTGCCATTGTATATCTTAAATGCCTCATAAGCTTCTTCAAAGAAATGGTCTGGTGCTTGGGTTATGAGTGAAGTATTTGTGTTTGCAGCTAGGACATCTTTTATAATTTACTGCAGAAGAACACAGATTTTTGTTTTTCTTTTTTCTTTTCCTTCTCCCAGTGCAATGCACAGAGATCTGCAGTGACAGAATTTAGGATGCTCATATTTAAACAGAGTCTTTATTGTAGTAAGCCAAGCTAAGTTTTCTATACTGCTGCATTGGTAATGAATAACAGCTTGTGCGGACAAGAAAGTTGACAATTATTTTTTGCTAATTAAAAGGTTCCTCATAGTAATCAGAACACTATCTTAGTTAATTTGATAATCAATCAGAACTTTTTTATAAATCAGGTGTTGCTGTTTGTAATGATATTATAAAAAGGGGATACAAAATACTGTTTGTACAAGTATGTACAAGAGAAAGAAACATGGGCATATATTTAAACACACAGCCAGCACTGCATCTTATCCAGGAGATTAAGATTTCAGAAGAGTGCACTAGTCCGGACTCTTGAGGTGTACCCATCTGCAAAAACTGTGCTGGCAATTGTGCATTAAAACAATAAAAGGAACGAAAGAAATAGGTCAAACAGGGATTGATGTAAGCGCAGAAGTGTCGTGTGTGTTATGGTTAACATTGCACTCAGTTGCACCGTTAACCGCAAACACCTAGGAACAGATCTTTAGGAGATGTAAATTATCATAGCGCTGATAATGCTATA